CTCCTCCAATCATTCTTTTGTTTGCCTTCTGCTAAAAGGCGGGTCGCATTTTATTTTGCGTAATCACCAGCCATAAGATTAAACATACGCACAAATACCCACGCACACACGCCATACACGCATACACACATACATACATACATACATACATACATACATACATACATACATACATACATACATACATACATACATACATACATACATACATACACACGCACTCACACACAGACAGACAGACAGACAGATAGATGATTCGACGATTAAACATAATCAAAGATTAAGGACGATGCACTCGAAGTGCTTTCAGACGAAAATTTCTCGTTATCAAATTTTATTGTTCAACTGACACTTCTCAAACTTGTAGAATTTCTAGAATTCGCGAAATTAACATTTATTACGATAGGACACAACGTGAGACAATGGGATGTGATACTATTCAAGGCGATCACTGCTCATCGCATATTTCAACTAGATACATAAAGATGTGCAAACAATTTACACGCGGTTGAACAGTCTGATAAAATATCTCAGTCGATACGCAATATATTTCTGCCAACACACTTAATATAAATCATGTATATATTTCTTCTTAGTTTAATCTATATGTTCTCTTAAACAACTGTTTCGGAAACTAAACTTTTACATTTGAGTTTTTTCATTTCTTTTAATTTTTTCAAGTTTCTGAGAAAAATATAATGACTGGAGATCTTTTTTGAGATTGCTACAACTGAAAAAAATTCATCTACAAGTCGAGCAATTTCAAAAGTTTTCAACGTGAGTCGTTCAAATGACGCCAAAAAAAATTTTTCTCTTTACATTAACAAGAATCCCTTATCAAAAGCTAAGCACTTGTTGTACATGTTCAAAGATGTTATTACGATATGCATGTGTAGCGCAGCAAACTCAAACACACACACACACACGCACACAAACACACACACACCACACAAGCAGTAACATTAAGATGGACAAGCATCTTCATCAATTTTATTGATTGGTATATTGTTCAGATAAAATATATATAAGTTTAAACGCAAGAATTTGTAATAAAATTGTTAAATTTTTCGTAGTTCAATGAACTGTGTGTGAGCGTTTGTGTGTGTGTGTGTGTTTGGGAGGGGGTTGACCGCAGTTTAAATTGATTTTTTAAAAAAAACTCAACTCGTCATAACGATTTTCAGATTTTATTAAATAATTGAAGTGTCTAAATTTATTTTGTCAAAAAAAAACAACAGTTTGTAGCAGTAACATTGCTAGTAATTTAAGTAATTCATAGTGTATAAATAATAAGGATATAAATTTCACCATATGTCCTTGTCAATCAATCAACCAATCGATCAATTAATTAACCAACAACAACAATAATAATAATAACCCTAACAATAACTACTTCTATTACAACCTTAATGACTAAAGTGATGACGTTAATCAATTATATTATAGTCAATTTATTAATTAATTTAATTAAAAAGAAAAAGGTTATAATTAATAATAGTAATAATATTAATAATAATAACAACAACCACCGCATTATTTATGATAACAAGTACAACAAAAAACATAGTTTTATTGACAATAGTGAATGATTTACATGAAAAAGGGCCACAAAAACACATTACCATGCCAACATACTTATATATATATATACATATATATAAAGAGAGAGAGAGAGAGAGTAAGATAGTTAGAGATTTAGAGAGAGAGAAAGAGAGAGAGAGAGAGAGAGAAAGGGAGAGAGATGAATTTGTATTTTTTAGGATTCCTTCCCGGGACAACACAACTACAACAAATTCATAAGTATAATGACCAATGTATTTTTCGGCAATACAGGCTAAAAGAAAAGTAAATAACCAAAATTGGTTGACATATATATTTATATATATTTATATATATATACATAGTATATATATATATATACAGCCTTACAAAAGTATATATATACATGTATATACATGTATATATATATTTATATACCAAGAGATATAGAGACATATATACCTTACGCATATGTGTTATATAATTATAAAGCAACACTGAATAAAAGTAACAATAAATAATAAATAATAGTAATAATAATAATAACCATAATAATAACAATATTAAATATTAATTTTTAATAGACAAGGTCGACGAAAGAATGTAAAATATCAAACAGACAATGCTGTATGATATAGTAATTTATGATAAATATATATTTATAAACACGTACAACATATTTATACATTCGTATGTATGTATATTATATATATTTTAATATGTATATATATATATATATATATATATATATATATATATATATATATATATATATACATTACATGCATACAACATACACATTTTTATGCTTAATGTGACTATAAATTATCTAGTAATATCGATTATTACCGTTTTCATTATTATACTGATATTACTTACACTGATATTATTATTATTATTATTATTGTTATTATTATTGTTAAACTTTTCAAGTAACAACACATTATTTCATATTTTTTTTTAATATTTAAAGAATTTATGAAGCAAAATACAAAACAATATATGATAATATATCCAATTTAAAAACAATTATATATATATATATAATATAGCATCTAATACACACACATATTTATATTATATATATATATATGTATATATACATTCATATATACACACATATATATACACACACATACATATTCATTTGAACGTTTTTTTAGAACAGCAATAATAGATATACCTAGTTTATATATGTTTGTTTGCATTATTCTTTATTCAAACGATAATTAGAATGAAATTCAACACACAAACACACACACACACACACACACACGCACGCACTCACACATATATTATATATACATTCATAAACCGCATATACAACATACAACCTATAAATAGTGGTGCAGTTAGACATCTTACGTATTAGCAGTGTGTACTGTATATACGTACGGTAAGTTGAGTTTTAAACTTGTACACACTAATCAATAAGCATACATGAACAGGAAGGTGAATGGAAATAGAAAAAAAAACTAAAAGGAAGAAAATGAAGAAAGGAAGAGACAAAGAGACTGAAAGAGAGAGAGAGAGAAAGAAAGAGAGAGAGAGAGAAAGAAAGAGAGACCCAAGGAAAGAGAGAGACAAGGAAAGAGAGAGAAAGAGAGAGAGAGAGAGAGAGAGAGACATACATAACACAATCAAGCTTGTTGTAAATGTTCCATTTGTATCTCCAGTGCAATCCTCTGTTCCATTACCTCCTGTAGTTCCTGGTTCAACTCGCTGTTCACCCTCGCCAGGACTAAATTTCTCTCCCTCTGAACTCTTATAGAAGCCTGGATGTCTCGTCTGTCTAGACTGTCGTGTCTAGACGGGTTGGAATGATGATAACGATGATGCTAATAATGATGGCAAGTCGACGATAACAATGATGAAGACAAACGAGACACCATCAACGTCATTGTTAGCAGAGCATATAACACGATCCGTAACGATGTAATGACGTGATGTGACGTAAAACGAAACGATACGAAACATTGCGAAACGAAACGATACGAAACATTGCGAAACAAAACGAAACGATATAACATGTCACTAACTTGATCATGCTTTTCTTGCCTGTGGCCAAAAGCTTAGATGGATCGTCAGTCATTGGGGATAGGAGCATTTGCTGGTAAAAGATTTATATTATTATTATTATATTATTATTATTATTATTATTATATTATTATTATCATTATTATTATTATTATTATCGTAATTATACCAAGTAGATGACGTTGTTTATGCTAAATGCCAATGATTTTAACGTATTTTTTGACTGATCAACAAGCTCACATTCCATCCAATTTTCAATCTCCATCAACATCATCATCATCATCGTCGTCATCATAACCGTCATCATCATCGTCATCATCTTACCTCTTTTGGCGATGGTCTTGGCGGTAGTACTGGAAGAAACTTAACATGCGTGCCGTCTGCTATGATGACGACGACGATGACGATAATAATGATTAATGAATAAAATAAATAAGCTGCAAACTCTGAGATTCACCATTATTACCAAAACTTCTCATCATCATTATCATCTTCAAGTTAATCATCATCACCATTCTCATCTTCCCATCATCATCATCATTATCATCTTCAAGTTCATCACCATCCTCATTATCATCATCGAAGTTGTCGTCGTCATCATCCCAATCATTGCCATCATCATCATAAACACTAGCAACTACCTTCTTGAGGTGAAATGGAGACAAGCTGATTATCGAGGGATGCATTTCTGGAGTGCCCTGGCACCATTCTGGGCGGCGGGGGCGGCGGACCGTCCCCCATCACCGATGACGTCATCGTAGCAGCCATTGCTGCGTTGGTAGTTGTCGTAGCTGCGTTGGCGTCAGTAATGTTTCGTGAACAGATGAGGAAATAACTATTAATATAAAAAAAAAACACTAACAACTATCTTTAGACAGCGTAGGCCTCGGTCGCCCATGAATTGACGACGATGAAGCCGCTGCTGATACTACACTCGCGGCTGTAGTGGCAGCTACTGCTGTTGTAGTCGTCGCCGTTGTGGCTTTCGTCGCTTCGAAATGTTCAATATCCAGATCAATCAAGAGGATGTTTGGATCATTTAAAATGTTATTGCTGGTAGCTGCTGTTGATGTTGTTGCTGTTGTTGCAGCTGCTATTGTCGCCGTTGAAGTAGTAGTCGATGTCGATGATGATGATGATGTGGCTGATGATGATGATGGTGGCAAGAGTTGCTGCAGCTTGTGTTGTATTATATTAAGTCGTTGCTGTTGTATTAAATCTGTTGTTTCATCTGTGTGTGTGTGTGTGTGTGTGTGTGTGTGTGTGTGTATCAAACAAACATATGTACAAACATATACAGGCAAACAAACATTCCAAAACACACACAAACAAACAAACACACAAACAAACACACAAACAAAACACAAACAAACACACAAACAAACAATCAAACCAGTATAGCTGGCGGAATCAGAGTCAAGAATGAATGGGGCATCATCTGGCGACATTCTGACTGCTACTGGATGCAGAATCTTAACACCCTTGTTATGTACATGCATCATTCATCCATCCATTCACCCATTCATTCATTCATTCATTCATTCATTCATTCATTCATTCATTCATTCATTCATTCATTCATTCATTCATTCATTCATTCATTCATTCATTCATTCATTCATTCATTCATTCATCTATTCATTCATTCATTCATTCATTCATCTATTCATTCATTCATCTAATCATTCATTCATTCATTAACTCACTCGTTAACTCATTCATTCATCTATCAATACATTAATTCATCACATACACGCACGCACACACAGACGAACGTACACGCGCACATAAAAAAACCAACATTATTGTCAGATGTGACTGGCCTGAATTCAAAATTGACAGGGGTGGACTTGATACCAGGCGACGACACGGAACTGGAAGTAGGGGAATCAACGGCATTAACATCACCACCCATAGCAGCTACAGTTACTACCGCAGCCGATGTTGTTGCTACTACTGCTGCTGCTGCTGCTGAATTAGTTGTCGACGGAGCGCTGTTGATGTCACCAGGATGAGTTGTTGTTGTTGTTGTTGCTGGCGATGCATTCCACTGCTGTTTGAAAAAACAAAAGAAAATAAGAAAGTGAAGAAAAATGTTTACAGTTTAATTTATTTTTTAAAACAAAGATCATAAAACTGAACCTAAAAAACAAATTAAAATGAATAACACATTGACTACCTGACTAGTAGGAGAGGAAGATGATTTGGTGCCACTAACTGCCATTGGATCATCTAAACAGGGCGAATAATTTGCAGCCAATCAGAAACAACCGTCAACCAGCCAATCAAATCACATTATTCCTAATAAATAACCCTATAACTAACATTCTACAACCAAAATCAACATTTCGGTTTAAAAAAAAAAGAAGATGGAGAAGTAGAAAGAGAGAGAAAGAGAGAGAGAAGGAGAGAGAGAGAAAGAGAGAGACCAACCATATGGCACAAGAAAAAAATTGTAGGAATGTGAGAAACAGAACGAAAGAGAGAAGAGTGAGAAATAGAGAGAAAAAGAGAAAAAGACCAACCGGTGAGATAGGGAAAAAGCGAGAGTGGTAGTTGTTCGGGCAGTTCAATATCATTCCTCCTTAAGACTACGAGATGCATGGCCGTACAAAACTCGGACAGGGTCAGAACACCATCTCTGTTAACGTCTGATAATCGCCTGTTTAGAAACAAATAAACAAATAAAATAAATAAAATAATTAATTATTATGAAACAATTACTATAATATCACGTGATGATATAATATAATATAATTATAATATAAATAATTTTGTTATGTTATGTAATGTTGAACAAGAAAATTCAAAACTAGAAATCACCATATTTTTGAGAGTTCCCTGAAGGGTAGTTTTGATTTTTCAAAAAATTCCTTAGCTATGCTTCCTAAAAAAAAATATAAAAATTATTACGTTATTCATTCATTCATTCAATCAATCATTCATTCATTCATTCATTTATTCATTCATTCATTTCATTCATTCTTTCATTCAAAGCGTAAAACCCCAGACGCTTGCATAGGCAGCCAATTAAATTTTAGCTCCATTAAAACTACAAGTAAACATACACAACACAGCTGTATAGAATCAGAATTATGAAACACAATGAATTAAAATAATACAAACACATTCAGACAAACACATTCAGACAAACAACATGTAATTACACACACAGACACACACACACACACAGATACAGATACACACACACGCACGCACATACCAGATATAACTCCTCTTAGGTCTGGCTGCATTGTTTTAAACTGATTAGTGTAGTAGTTTCTCTGCTCGTCAGTCATACACCAGAGGTCTTCTGATGTGGTCGTATTGTCAGAACATACAGAAATATTGTCGTAGGCGTCGCTAGCAGTCGTCGATGTTGTGGCTGTGGTTGTTGTCGTGAAGTTTGCCCAATCTCCTTGTTGCTGCTGCTGTAGTAGCTGTTGTTGCTGTAAGAGTTGCTGTTGTTGATGCTGTATCTGTTGTTGTAGTTGTCGTTGCTGAAGATGAAGTTGTTGTTGTTGTGAAAATTGTTGTTGCTGACTGAACTGCTGTTGCTGATACTGTTGCAGATGTTGTTGCTGGTGGGGGTGATGGGGATCATCTTCAAAGGAGGTCCAGCCCTTATCATGTTTGACCACATCGACGAATGCACTCTCGTGACCTCTCAATGATGCCATGTTGATCAGTTGCTGTGGCGGTTGCATCAACATCGGGGCCGACTGCTTCCTATTGGTCGCAACATTTGACGTCATCGCAACATTTGTTGACAACAATGTTGCCGGTGTCGTGGCGGGGGATGTTGTCGTCAGTGCCAGCGTGACAACGGGAGGCATGGCCATATGTTGCTGTCATGAAAATTACTATAATTTACAAAAATGCAAACGAAATTCTAAAAAAATATCCATGTCATTAACATAATTTATGCGCATAAAAACAACATTATAAAATCTTAATTATTTCAAACCTGAGTGAATATTAATGAAGGATCAACAACACTACCAGCAGTGGCCAATGACATGGACCTTGATGTAGAATAACTCCGCCCGTGTCTCGAATGATTGGATGGACTGAATCGTTTTAATAATTTTAATATTCAAATATATCTACATAGATAAATAGGTAGATAGATGGATGGATGGATGGATAGAAGGATAGATAGATGGATGGATAGAAGGATGGATGGATGGATAGATAGACCGACAGACAGACAGACAGACAGACAGACAGGCAGACAGACAGACAGGCAGACAGACAGACAGATGGACAGATAGATAGACAATAGATACACACATACAAACACAGTAACTAACTCTTCTATCATCTGGTTTTGCTGTTGTTGTTTCAAAAAAATTTGTTGTTGTTGTTGGAGTTGTTGTTGAAGTTGTTGTTGCAGTTGCTGTTGTTGTTGTTGTAGAGGTGGTTGTAGTTGCTGCTGCTGTTGCGGTTGTTGTAATTGCTGTAACTGTTGATAATGCTGTTGTTGTTGTAGTTGGATTTGATGTTTCTGATTAAAATGTTGTTGTTGCTGTTGTTGTTGTTGAAATTGTTGCTGAAGGTGTTGTTCGTTTACGTGTTTCATGTACATTAAAGTTAAGTTCTGGTTTCTCCATATATCTGAGTATCATAAGTTTGATATGTGTAACAAAATGTTAAATCACAAATCACGTAATATATATATATATATATATCATCATGTATCAAGATACATATCTTTTCTCATAATAATCTTCCTCACCATCGTCATCATCACTTATTATATGATGACGACGACGACGACGATGATGGCACTCTGTATAAAACTGGCAGGCAGATCAATTTTGAAATCATTAGCAAACATCAAGCTAACAGTGCTAAAGCTTTAAAATGTAAATAAAATTCGCATCAAAAACCTCATCATAGAGCTCATAGTCGTCATGATCATCTTCATTCATTTCGACAATACCATCTCTCTATCCATTATCATTCTCATCATCGTCGTCGTCATCATTACAAAAATTACCATCTTATCATATTAGCAATCACTTATACTCAAACTGGAAGAATTGGCACAACTTTTTGTCCTACTATCTTCCTCATTTTTATTTATTTATTACAAACATAGACACCAAAACACACGCACGCACGCGCGCACATATATACACAAACATACATACATATATACATGCAAACAAACATACATACATGCATACAAACAGACATACAAACATACAAAACATACCTGCTTGCATGGCAAACCTAGGATACGGTAACTCAATTCCTAAATAACAAAAAAAAACAAATAAATGAGTACCAGTGAATGAATGAATGAATGAACGAACGAACGAATGAATAAATGAATGAATGAATGATTGAATGAATGAATGAATGAATGAATGAATGAATAAACAAACGAATGAATAAAGTTAAACCAAAACAAAATTTAAGATAAATCAAATTACACTATGAAAGCAAACAGTGAATGAATGAATAAATTATTATGTACATACATTTCATTATATGATGAATGTATGAATGTATGTATGTACCTCTTTCTCTTATAACATAAAATAAAAGCTTTGATGTAGTCATCATTACCATCACATAAACATCATCATCATTATTATCATCACCATCAACATCATCATCGTCGTTATCTTCGTCGTCATTATCATCATCATTATAGCCAGCTACATGGCACTGTGAAGAATGTATATATGTGTATATCTACTACAAAATGAAACAATAGCTTCAGATGAAATGACGTTTTTATCATAAATCTTGAATAAATAAATAAATAAATGATTAAGCAAGTAAAACCTGCAGTCCAGATTTCGTTAACTAGGGCAAAGTTATTCTGGGCAGCAGCGATGAACTTAAGGGCGATGAAGAACTGCGTTCGACCGAAGTGACCGGCTTGCTTTGCTCCGCTCAACTCAAAAATCTGAGCATGTACGTTAGAGTATGCGTGTGTGTGTGTGCGTGCGTGTAAGTGTATGTGTGTGTGCGCGCGCGTGTGTGTGTGGGCTGTGTGTGTAAAACGAAGCAAGCAAAAGTATGGTATGTGAATGAGTGAATGAATAAATGAACGAATGAACGGAACGAATGAATAAATGAATAAATGAACGAATGAACGAACGAACAAATGAACGAATAAACAAATGAGCGTTTTCAACGATCAAAACAAATAACATAAACATTGTAAATACTACTAATGACAACAAGAAAATAAACACCTCTAAATAGAAAAAGAGATACAAATGAACAATGTATAAACATTGGTAAGGATAAAAAAAACATCATCCTATAATGATCATCAGCTATTCTGAACGCTTTGCATATACAAATAACCTATGAAGTATAAATACTCCTTAAAATTTATTATTTTAAAATGAAATATTAAAAAGTATAAATAATAATGTTATATTTGCTCTGATCAAATAACCTAATACCAAATATGAATAGATTAACATAGCGCCAGTGGCTTTGTATGAATAAGTTAAAGAAATTAGCATATGCAAATGAACCTGGTGGAGTACTTCTTGAGACAGGCCTGAGGTAACAAACAGCTCGTAGACCTGGTAATAAATTAATAAAATATTTTAATTTTAAAAACAATTTTTGAGAAATACAAATTAAGAAAGAGAGAGAGAGAGAGAGAGAGAGAGAGAGAGAGAGAGAGAGAGAGAGAGAGAGAGAGAGAGAGAGAGAGAGATAGTGAGGAAGAAAATAAGAAAAAAAATTATTAAGAGAAAGTGATAGAAAGAGAAAAAGTGAGAAAGAGAGTGTGAGAGGTAAACCTGATTCATGGATAAAATTCCACAGTTGTCTCCATCCAGGAAGTTGAAGAGCTCCCAGTAAAAGCGATGCTCGTTTTCTGATACTTTCAGTTGACTTTCCATACTTTTTTAGATTCTGTATACCGTTGTGATTCTTCCTTTCTATAATGTATTGTTTTTTATGATCTAGTTTTTATATTTTATCTATATTTGTTTAATTATTTAAAAAAAATAGAATTTTTACTTTTTTAGAGTAATTCTGTGTGAATGTGCTATATGTAGTGCTAGTGTAGTAGAGTAGTGCCATAAAATTTATAAAAATAATGAAATATGAACTTGAAAGAAAATAAAAAATGAAATAAAATAGTTCAATTTAAATGACCTTCTTATTTAAAATTCTTGTTATAAGCAAATGAATCAGAAGAAAAAAAGCTAAACTTTTAATCTTAATTACATAAGTGAACCTAATTTTACAGTTCCAGATGAGTGGGATTTTTGTGATGTACCAATTTATTTATTAACCAGTTACAAATCAAAACAATAACCAATGAAAATAAAAAAAAAAACAATTATAAAATTAACAATTTTATTTATATTTTTCACCGTTATATCAATTCAATATTCTAAACTTAAAAATTATAAAAAAAAACCATGATAACTAAGGCTAGCTTATCTTAGTTAAAGCCTTATCTTTGCCCTAATTGGCCTAACTAACTAAACATGTTTAAAAAACTCTTTAAATTAAATTAAATATTAAAGTTTTAGGGAGTGTAATTAAATCCCTAATTTAAAAATATTGAATACTAAGTTGGAAACAATAAATGTTTAAAAATTAATTAATTACCTTTAATTTAAATTGTATGTAATTGGATAATCTTGTAGTAAGTTAATTAAATAATAACAAGTTATTAATGTTAAAAAAGTTAAAAAGTAAAGCAGGGAGGCGTCAGTAAATCATCACCAAAGTTTGTAACGAATCAGAACTTTAAACAAATAATCATTTAAAAATTTACAAAAAAAAACTATTGAAGTTTAAAAAAGTGAAATATTTCCGTAAATTAGTATAAATGTACAAACAATTTAATTATATTTTCATATTTTAAAAGCAACAATTTGAACAAAAATGGAATCAAATAATTATTTAAAATTGTGTAGAGCTAAACATTTTACAATAATTAAAAATTTTCAAAGTATAATGATACAATGCTCATATAGGGCCTTCAAGAGCGATTTTGAGGCCAGAGTCAGATAAGGTAATTTGTATTACATTTAATAATTATTTTTTTATTGTACCAGACTCATTTTGGCCCCTTTATAAGGCCTTTAAAGGTCGAAGTCGCATGCCAAATAACCCTCTTGCTCTCTTCCCGTTCATGTCGTATTATTTTCTATAGGTTAACTTGTCAAAGTTAAAAAATTTGCACATACAAATGCATTTAAAACATTATAATTTGCTCTACCAGTAACTTACTATTAAAAAACTGTCTTTATAATGTATAAATTATAATATAAGACTGATAATAATGATAATAATAGGAAAAGTATTACAATAAAAAAATATTTAAAAATAATAAGAGTAGAACGAGAGAGCGAGAGAAAAAGACAGAGAGAGAACACGATAACACGGGAACAACGTCATCATTATCTCCTATTACGTCACCGACATCCAGCAAAACCAACATCTGTAAATTCTGTAATGATGTAGCCGCCAATGATGATGAAGATGATTATGAAGATGATGAGGATGATGAGGATGATGACAATGACGATATGACGATAGATATGATGATTGTAATGAAGATGATGAAGATGGTTCCATTTTTACCATATATTATTCTAACATATTTAACCTCTTCAATTAAGGTTACAGAAATGGAAATATTTTTTTAACGCAACTGCTTACTCGTTCATTCATTAATTAATCAATCTATATGCTCATTTATCTAACCATCCATTTTTCCATTCATTCCTTCCTTCATTCATTCATTTATTCATTCATTCAATCAATCATTCGTTCATTCATACCTGGGCATATACAAACTGCACATGTGCCAAATACGCCCGAAAATAATTTTCTCGCCGGGGCATTCATTGAGGAAATATGTACACTCTCTCTCTCTCTCTCTCTCTCTCTCTCTCTTTCTCTCTCTCTCTCTCTCTCTTTCTCTCTTTCTCTTTCTCTTTCTATCTCTATTTCTTTCTTTCTTTTCTCATTTTCTCATTCTGTTTATCTCTAAATATCAGTATCTCAATTTTTTTCTCCCCCATCTCTCTCTTTTTTCTCATATAAAATTCTTTTTTCCTCTCTCTCTCTCTCCCTCTTTCTCTCTCTCAAATAAATGCATTGGTCAAACCCATGAAATGACATTTATTGGACCCCTACGTCCAAATTAATATCAATATTATTGTTGTTATTGTTCTTCATAAGTATTTTATAATGGTTATTGTTGTTATTATTGTAGTTGTTATTGTTGTTATTGTTATTTTTGCTATTATTGTTAACATTTGTGCTATCGTTTTGTAAATACTTATATTTCTAAGTGTGTGCGTATGTATATGTGTGCATGTATGTATGTGTGTGTATGTTTGTATATTTGTGTGCGTGTATGTAAGTTTGTGTGTGTGTATATATATATATATATATATATATATGTGTGTGTGTGTGTGTGTGTGTGTGTGTGTGTGTGTGTGTGTGTGTGTGCATGTAACATGCACATATATCACTAATTGATTGATTCTGGACCTGACAGCAATAAAAAACCATC